GCCCTACGTCTCCTTATCGGAACTGCCCCCCCCCCCCCCCCCCACCAGCAGGCACAGTACGCTAACTTTATATAGATAGTTCACATTCCCAATATACTTTTAAAGCAAAATAAAATAGTAGGAGCGTTCTTATCGTAGTGTCGGGGCACGCACGGGGACGCGCCGAGACGCGCTATGCGGTGCAGCCGGCGCCCAGCGGGCGGCGGCCGGGGATCAGGTGGCCCGGCGCGGGTCAGTCGCCGACCGGAGACGCGGGCTGCGGCGTACTTGTACCGACTTAGTTAACGACTGCTGTTAAAGACTACTTTTTGCTGTTGACTACATTTTGCGCATCAACTTTTCGCCCCCTATGAACTATTTGCTTGAACTTGACTTTTTGTGTGTTAACTTTTAGCGTGTTGACTTTTAAGCATGTTGACTTTTAGCCTGTTCTTTTAGCATGTTGACCTTTCGCGTGTTGACTTTTAGCGGGTTGACTTTTAGGCGTGTTGACTTTTAGCGTGTTGACTTTTTGCGTGTTGACTTTTTGCGCGTTGACATTTGCGTGTTGACTTTATGCGTGTTGACTTTAGCGTGTTGACTTTTAGCGCGTTGACTTTTTGACATGTCGGCTTTTTGTCTCTTCGACATTATGTCTTTTGACTTCTTGCGTGTTGACTTTTAGCTTTGACTTCTGGCGTGTTGACTTTTTGGCAGGTTGACTTTTTGTTCATTTGACATTTTGTCCTTTGACTTCTTGCGATGTTGACTTTCTGTCTGTTGACTTTATGTCCTTTGACTTTTTATCCGTTTACTTTTAACGTTTTGACTTTTCATCCGGGAATCATTATCGCCCCACTGACAAATGACCGGTCTTCCCTCCCACTATTTTCCCCACTGACCGTTACCCCCTATCTATCGACTTATGAGGCCGCCAGTCGGCACCCACCGACCTATGTGACCGTCGGGCGGCACCCACTGACCTATGTGACCGTCCGTCGGCACCCACTGATCTATGTGACCTCCGGGCCCGATTCACTGACCTGGCTATGTGACCTCCGGGCGGCACCCACTGACCTATGTGACCTCCGGGCGGCACCCACTGACCTATGTGACCGCCGGGCGGCACCCAGGCGCCGGCGAAGGTGCGCATGTGCGCCGACCGGCAGGTGAGCAGCACGGCCCGGTCGGCGCTCTCCACCATCACGCAGATGCCGACGTTGACGCCTCGGCCGGCGATCTCCGGCGGCAGGAGTCGCGCACGCGCGGCGTCATGTACAGCACCGGACAGCAGGTGTTGTGCTGAGGAGCACGGCAGGCAGGTGAACGGTCCGCGCCGGAACTCCAACCCGGGCCCCGGAAAACGCCACCCGGTGACAGGTGATGCCTGGTATGCTGTCAGTTAGCGACCTGACCTAGGTCGGTCACATGACCGTTGTCCACAAATAGACGCGCTCTGCCGGTGATACTGACAGTGCGTTCAATTGTGTCCACCGACGATACGATACTGTGCAGCCGAATACCATGGGGCAATTTTGAAAATAAGGTCCTTTAACCTCGCCCGTATTGGTGTTTAAACAGCCACTAACGTAGGGTGCGGGCAGTGGCGCAGCCAGGGGGGGGTCAGAGGGTCAGCTGACCCCCCCCGAAATTTTTGTCAGGGGCCCGCTCGAGAGAGAGAGAGAGAGAGAGGAGAGAGAGAGAGAGAGAGAGAGAAGAGAGGGAGAGAGAGAGAGAGATAGAGAGAGAGAGAGAGAGAGAGAGAGAGAGAGAGAGAGGCCCTAATCTAATCGGACGAGCCCGCTTCGAGAAATGCCTACTGGGACACCACGGTGAGGGGTCGGCCTGGGGCCCCAGGTGGACGGGGCCCGGGCCCCCGGGAGAACGGGCCCGGCCCCTGGGAGAACGGGCCCGGGCCTCCTGGGTGGATGGGGCCGGCCTGGGGCCCAGGTGGACGGGCCCAGGCCCCCGGGAGAACGGGCCCGGGCCTCCTGGGTGGATGGGGCCGGCCCCCCCCCCCCGTTGATGGGTCCGGACCCCCGGGAGAACGGGCCCCGGGCCCCGGGAGATTGGAGAACGGACCCGGGCCTCCCGGAGAACGGGCCCGGGCCCCCGGGAGAATTGACCCGGGCCCCTGGGAGGAAACGGGCCCGGGCCTCCTGGGTGGATGGGGCCCGGCCCCCCCCCCCCCGTTGATGGGTCCGGGCCCCCGGGAGAACGGGCCCCGGGCCCCGGGAGATTGGAGAACGGACCCGGGCCTCCCGGAGAACGGGCCCGGGCCCCCGGGAGAATTGATCTGGACCCCTGGGAGAACGGGCCTGGGCCTCCTGGGTGGATGGGGCCCGGGCCCCAGGGAGAACGGGCCCGGGGCCCCGGGAGATTGGAGAACGGGCCCGGGCCCCCGGGAGAATTGACCCGGGCCCCTGGGAGAATGGGCCCGGGCCCCCTGGGTGGATGGGCCCGGGACCCCCGTGGATAGGTCTGGGCCCCCGGTAGAACGGGCCCCGGGCCCCGGGTGGACGTCGGACCCCCGGGTGAATGGGGCCCGGCCCCCGGGAGAACGGGGCCCGGCCCCCGGGAGAACGGGGCCCGGCCCCCGGGAGAACGGGGCCCGGCCCCCGGATGGATGGGGCCCGGGCCCCCTGGTGGACGGGCCCCGGAGCCCCGGGTGGACGGGGCCCGGAGCCCCAGGTGGACGTGGCCCGGGCCCCCGTATGGATAGGGCCCGGGCCCCTGGTTGAATGGGGCCCGCTAGGGTGACCCGCTTGCTCCGCAAAGCGAATAAGGGGTATTTTCGATCGGTGGGCGTTTGGTTGGTCTTGTGTCCGTGGGTGATGTATCCATTTCGGTTGATTGCTTTTTGACGGCTAAGCATTTTGGATTGGGAAAAAATATCCATTGCATCGAGGTGCTCGTGTCTGATAAGCATGCGTTCTACTATAGAACATGTCATGTGTAGTTTATAACAACGGTTGACGTAGGTTATTGAAAAATGACAGCCATCGATGAATTCCTATGTAGAGGTTTCTAACATTTATATTTTTAAGAATACTGTTGCTCGTCATGCAAAAGCGATGATTGGATTTTGGACAAAATTGAATGGTCTTCCCAACTATGCCATTTTCAACTGTCAACCGTACCAGGTTATGCAGTAAAACCCGTGTAATTAAGTAAGTCATTAACAAATACCATTCTCTCCAGCGATTTGTTCCACCTTGTTTTTGATCAATTAGCTTTTCACAATTTTTCCATGAGAGGCGGTACATTTCTTTTGCCAACAGGCGTTGTTTGAACCCGCTCCGTCAAACAGTCACCCGAAAATAGCATTAAGTCCCAAATCTGTCCGAAACGTAAATTTCCCAGCATAAGTGCCCTCACGGGTGCACGTGGCGCGTGCCATCCCTGCACCGCACACCATTCGATAGCCCTTTCGATTCTCTACACGATACCCCGTGGCGATTGGGCCCACGGTTACCGAGATACTGCACGGGGACCGGACCAGTGTCTGGCAAATTTAGTCATTTTCGCCCGATTTTGCAAGCCGATTTATACATACATGTAAAGTCCATAACGCGAATTTGCACTTTTTGAGCACGCGTCATGTGCTCGCTATCAATCCGATCGAGCTGAGACCCTCAAAGGCACGTTGCCCATCCTTAATCTATAAGTTGCGCAAATTTCAGCGCACTTGGCGCAACGGTCGGGCCCGTACCCCGCGCTAAGTAACACCATGCCGGGACCTCGATAGCAGACAGAATCTACAGGGTGTCCCATAAGTTCGTTCTCACATTTTATTTGCATGTGAAACAGAGTACTTTGCGTTTTGATATATTTATGACCCCTCAATGTGCTCCCCATTTAATAGGCAAACACATGAACACATGCTGCGGCATGCTAACCGGCATGTTTGGCTGCATAGCAGGCTTAAAGTTAACCCAGACTGACTTGACATGCGCCGTGAGCTCCTCGAGGCTGGAACAGCGCTACGCTTCGACGAGCCTAAATTTCAGCATAACCAACAATTTTTTATGAAATTTTGATCCGATGAGGTGCCTGGCATGTGGTCTTGCCACAAACGCCTGTCACAGTCTCCTTCCACCGCTTTTAAGCTTTGCTTGGCCTGTGCACTGATGCACTGTCTTGCCTGAAGATGGGCCTACGACCTCTCGGATGCCATTTTCTCCTCTATAAATGTGTTCATACTCGCGGTTCGAGTTCAGCTTGAGGGCTGAAACTCCTCCTAGATTTTCTTGGAAAAGCATTATGCTTCCCAAAGCTGTTTCTGGGACACCAATCGCAACCTGGTCAGCGTCTGGACGCCTATAACCCCACAATACCGTGATCTTGGCCTTTCGCATAGGAACATAACGGGACGAAACGGAGGCCTCCTCCTTCGCCCTTATGGGGTTGTTTTCGGGTTTGGACGGGTGTTTCATCTCGAACGTGGACTAGTTAGTCCAGATGACCTGGTTGATGTCCTCAGCCCCTTAGTTTTTTTAGCCTCAGGCATAACGAAACTCATGTTTGGCCATTTTAAGACGTTTTTGACTGTTTTGAGCCCTCCGGTAAGCAAAGCTTTAGTCACCTTGAGTTATGTACCCCGTAAGAACAATTTTAGACAGCTGGTAATCCATCTTGAAAAGTCTGCTTACCAACTTTCTAACCCCTTGACCTTTTTGATGGCCACTTTGGCGCTACACAGTTTTGGCCACATGGCTCACTCCTGAGAGCTGACAAAAAAGAGGATAAACTTGCAATGATTGACTCCCGACAAATCATCGGTGTCACTTGCTGACTGTGCGTCCAGTTAGCGATGGACATTGTCTACAGACTGGTAGGCCTCAATCACCCTCAATCGTCGCGAATGGTCACGTGCTGACTAAATACCGAGACGTACCCGTATTGGAGACCTCTATGTTGCGGCGTTAGCCGTCTGTGTAGGAAACGGGCTCTCTACCAAAAACTATTTTGTCTACAGAAATTAGTTACTGTGGAGCATATTTCTACCAGCCATGGCAACCACGTAAGCTCAGTAACGAACCAATTTCAGCGTGTCTTTAAGCAAGAGAGCCTAAAAACGTAAAATGTAGGTGAGAACGAACTTATGGGACACCCTGTACGTCACCACATCACCACGCCACAACAAACCCGGCCCATGGCAATACATGTCCCATATGAGCGCGTTAACTCTCGCCGGCACAGGCCATTCCGGCCATTTTGCGTCCTTCGACGGCACAAGAGGGGGGGGGGGGGTGGTACGACCCCTTCGTGTTTGGCCCATGATCGAGCTAGAGCTTCGCGGGAAATACGAGCGTGTTCCCCGTGACGAGAGGAAGCCGACGATACCCAATTTTAAGGTTCTTGGTCATTGGTTGACCTTCCAGGTCAGGTCAATGACCGAAAAATCGGGAAAATCGGGACCTGTTAGAACGTCGTTAATTGTGGCTGCTATAGGGTTTTTCGGGGTACTGATCATGAATAGTTATCATGTTAGTTTTGATAACAGATGAGGTCTTTATGCATTTAAGCCAGGTCGGGTCAGGTCAGGTCAGGTCAACCAGTAGGGGTCCTGCCGGGTATTCGTAGTACCTACGTGCCAGCCGCCTCTGGCAGCTTCGTAACATGTTACGAAGGCACCAAAACTACTTCGTAAATGTTCAAATGGTTGCTAAATTCGGATTCAGCTCCAAAAACTAGCCTGGAAACATGCATAATTCGAAAAAAGTACCGAGGTCATCATAGGTCAATGACCTGACCTGACCTTCAGGTGACCTTGACATCCACCCTAATGCATGGGAGCAGCATCAACTCACATGTTTGAATGCTTGAAACCACGGAAAGACTGCAAACGCGCGGCTAGTGCGAGCCGGCATACGCCGAATCGCGATTCTGGCCAAACATGGTCTCGGAAAGTAGGTCACAGGTCAAAGGCCATTTGGGTCAGGGTCATGAAATTTCTAGGGTAGGTGTAAAACTGATCAACGCGAGGGTACTGAAAGTTTGGTTGCGATCGGCCGATTTTTACCCGAGTTATTCGCGAAAAACCTTAGGGGGGAGGTTGCATCATCCCCTCCCCCCTGTGCCGGCGAGGGTTAAAACTGCTTGTGAGCGAATTCACGTAATGAAGAAGAATAAAGCACAATCTACTACAGCAGCCAATAGATGACTGAGTTAGGACAGGCACGTAGGACTGCTTAAATCTTGTCCGGCAGAAGCAGACAACAGTTCCGTTTGCATATATGCTATGCATATTGCGGAAGGGGCACATTTCGGCCTCGAAAGATACGAATTCATACGTCATAGTAACATATTTCTGTCATGGTCAATTCACGTGGAAATTGAACACCGGGTGATTACCGAGCTATTGTTCTATCAAAATTTTCCGATTCAAACTCGCTCACGGTTATCATGCAGGTAAAGGGGGCCCGCTCAGCAGAATGCGTATGAAATATGGAAAGATTCTGAAAAATGGGTGGGGGGCCCGCACACTAGGGGGCCCGCTTTGGAGGCGATGACCCCCCCGAAACGAAATCCTGGCTGCGCCACTGGGTGCGGGAGAGGGCCCGTCCCCCTCCCCACCCCCACCCCCCTCAGCCGTTCGGCGCCTGGTCGAGCTGGATCTTCACGAAAAAAAAAACGAGTGTGCTGCCCGAGACGAAAAAACCTGATGATATCCACTTATACGGTCCCAAACCATTGGTTGATCTTCCAAAGTTCCAGGTCAGGTCAATGACCCAAAGTCGAAAACACTGGGACCAGCTGCTACAACTTCTTTAAGGGAAGTTGTGGCGGGTTTTGGGGTCCTGATTTCGTCTTTGGTAGGTATTTGCTTTTGTTTGATCAAAGATAAAGTATTTATACATCATTTAGCGTATGTTGGCTCAGGTCAGGTCAGGTCGACCAGAGGGTGTAACGCCAGCTATCCACATTATTTGTATTTGTATTGTATTTATTGCATACCATCAACAGGTCCGGAAACCCAATAATAGACGGAGTCAGACATATAAAAACAATAAATACGACACACATTGTTAAAACTTCACACTGTATGGCGAACGAACACAGACAACCACTTCATAAACCGAGAGCACCTTCCAAAAATATCCGCTCCAGGAGTCACCTGTTACAGGCTATTAATCCGACGTGGTAGACGGCAAAACAATCCACCTTTGATGGTGCCTACTCTGGCGGCTGGGACATTAAAGGTAGTGTGCCAGCTTTCTTGGACCGTATGGAGTTAATGGCCCAGATAAGGAGAACCGGATTTTTAGAACTTATCCATACCTTCAAAACTCATGGAAACGTCTTAAATTCTTCAAATTTTGAGTACCTACCCCAGTGCGAAATTCGCCCCGACGGGTTGTCGGTCGTACCCCAACCACATTTCACACCACTATGAACAATAAATGCACACACTGAAATCGCTATTACCGATATGCTCATCCAATCAAGTTTCGATAAACCCGTTCATCATCATCTCCTGCGGTTTCGAACACGCCTGTTAGGTGGCTTCTGATGCTCGTCGAGGTCGGAATTTCCAAATACGCGTGGTGCGTCGGGCCGCGCGCTCTGACTTCGGCCAAGAAAATGCGTCAGCTGATCATTGTCATTTCTGCCACTTGCGTGTGGTGAAATGGGGTCATAACTTATAAGACGGCTTTTTCATATCAATTATTTTACATAAAATCATATTTCAAACCATAAATAATGTTCGACAGCCAAATAAAAGAAACAATACCAATACGGGCTTACAGTTTAAGGCTCGACATTGTGTTGTCTACGATTAGACAGCTGATAACTCATTCCCGTACGTCGTATGGTCGTAACACTATAATGACCTTTGCTTATTGTCACAAGTGCGCCGCATTCGCGATTGTTGCCCGACGCCTGTTTGCAGGTGAGCCCACTACAGTTGTTATACATATCTAAAAACCGAAAAACTTTTAGGCGAAAAAGGCACTATTCCAGGCCCATTTTTGATTTTTTTTGCGATATTAGGTAAAAACAGAAGCTTCTTATCCTAGGAAAAATAAAATGGGAAATCTTTCAAAGGTGGCACACTACCTTTAAGACAAGGTTGCGCGCGAGTTGCCCTGGCTGGGACAGCAAGTCCGAAGCTGCCCAGAATTTCCACGGAGTCAACACGACCCCCGAAGACGCCATGTAGGAAGGCGAGGTCATGTTTCGCCAGGCGCTGTTTTGTGGTTAGAACGGCGAAGTGGAGCAATAGCTGTGCGTAGTCAAATGAGTTTGAAGGGCGATTAGAGTTAACAGCTATCCAAATTAAAAACTTATGCTGGACCCTGTCCAGTCGCGCCATGTGAGACACTGCGGCGCCCGACCAAATAATGCTGCCAAACTCCAAAACAGAACGAACGTGAGCGTTGAATGCCGTAATAAGGGGTGCTGGCTCGAACCTGCGCCATGTCCGCGCACGTGAGATTTGGAGCGATCGCAGGTAAGTCCCCAAGGCACGATTCGCCCTCCCGACGACGTCATCGATGTGAGAAGCGGAGTTCAATTTTGAGTCCAGAATAACGCCTAAATCACGCATCTCAGATACGCGATCCAGGGTGACATTGCCAATGGAGTATGACGTCATGACAAGCTTTTTACGCAGAGCAAAGGTGCATTTTGCTGGGTCAAGTTTTAGTTTCCAAACGGTGGACCAAGAAGATAGGATGTCTAAATCGGCCTGAAGGGTGACAGCATCGTCGGGAGAGCGAATCCGCCTCAGCAGTTTCACGTCATCAGCGTACGTACATCAGGCATGTCGATGAGATAGAGGACGGAACATCGTTGCAAAATACGCGTACAATGCCACTGACAGTTTCGTCACATGTGGTGTAGGTACCAAAACCATTTCTCAAATGTCCACATGAGTGTAAAAATCAAAATCAGCTCCAAACACTTCCCTAAAAATCGTAAAACTCGATTAAATCGCAGGAGGTCACCAAAGGGCAATGACGTTGACCTGACCCTCAAGTAACCTAAGCATCCACCATAATGCACGAGACAAACATCATTTCCCATGTTGGCAAGTATCCAGCCACAAAAAGTCTGGAAAGACATGGATATTGGATATCATGCCCCGACACAAAGAATCGCGATTTCGGCGGCCGGCCTGACGTGTTCCCGGGAAACATGTCACAAGTCAGGGTAATGTGGGTCAGGTTCATTAAATTTTCAGGGTATGTGTAAAATTGATGATCTGATGGACACTGAAAGTTTCGTCGCAATCGGCCGCGTTTTTCACGGGTTATTTGCAGAAAGCCGAAGGAGCTCCATCTGACCCCCAACAAGTATGAGTGTCAAAGGTCCCAGGCAGATCCTGTTTTCTTAACCCTCGCCCGTATCCGTATGAAGGGGGGGGTCTAACGGACCCCTCGGTTTTTCGCGAATAAATCGCGTAAAAAGCGGCCGATCGCCACTCAACTTTCAGAACCTTCTAGTTGATCAATTTTACACCTACCTTGATAATTTCATGACCCTGACCCCAATGCCCTTTAACCTGTGACCTATTTGCCGAGACCATGTTTGGCCGGTATCGCGATTCGGCGTATGTCAGCTCGCATTAGCCGCGCGTTTGCCGTCATTTCATGGTTTCAAGCGTTCAAACATGTGATATGATGTTGGTCCCATGCATTAGGGTGGGTGTCAAGGTCACAGTGTATATGTCAAGGCCACCTGAAGGTCAGGTCGGGTCATTGACCTTTGGTGACCTCGGTTCACTTATTCTAATTTTACATGTTTCTAGGCTAGTTTATGGAGCTGAATTCGAATTTAGCAACCATATGAACATTTACGAAGTAGTTTTGGTGTATTCGTAAAATGTTACGAAGCTGTCAGAGGTGGCTGACACGTACTATGTTTACCCAGCAGGACCCCTACTGGTTGACCTGACCTGGCCTAAATGCATGAAGACATCTGTGATCAAAACTAACATGATATTTGTGATCAGCACCCCAAAAACAACCTCATAACAGCCACGCTTTACGACGTTCTACCAGGTCCCGATTTTACCCGACTTTTTGTGTATGTATGTATGTATGTATGTATGTATGTATGTATGTATGTATGTATGTATGTATGTAATATGTATGTATGTATGTAATATGTATGTATGTATGGACATCAAAAGCCTCCCACAAAAAGCGTGGCGATTACGGCTTTTGGGTCACTGACCTGACCTGGAAGGTCAACCAACGACCTAGGATCTTAAAATTGGGTATCATCGGCTTCCTCTTGTCACGGGCAACACCCCTCCCCCCCCCCCCGTATACATTTGAGGCTGGCTTAAACACCAATACGGGAGAGAGTTAAGAAACAAACATGTAAGGAGCATGAAAGTCATGCTTTCATGAAACCAAATGCCCATATGTTCCAAAATATGGCTTTGCAGCTGGTTGGGTAAAATCAAATATTGTCTGTTGCTATTATCCCATGAGATTTTATTCAATGATGGAACAACCACCTTGTCACCAATAAAAAGAACAGCAAACAAATAACCACCATCACATGACCACTGGTCTGAGTACAAGATACAGATACAGGTAACATGTCAAAACAACAACACAACTTTACAAGCTAAGACATCACAATTCACAGCAGCAACTAACCTGAAGAAGTGATACAGTCCATCCATCTTTCCTCAGTGCTTCAGTTTCTGATGCTGAAAATGGAAGCAAGCAATTCAATCATAGCTAAGCCCAAAATATGGCATTGAGCACAAAAAGAATACAATTTTGAGTATTACAATCACATTGCAAAAAAGCAGCAGTTAACATGCCTTACCCTAGCAAGAATTCATGTGCAGTTTCTTGTATTTGGATTTGCAATGTTCATTCTTATTCAAGGTGTAATATTGAGGCATTCCATTCAGTTAACTGTTCTCAAACCAAATATACATCAGTAAGAGAGCATGTTTCATGCCAAAATAAATAAAATAACAAAGAACAAAGAGCAAAGCAAAAGTTTGAGAAAGTTAAACATAACAAATGATCAAAAGCTTCAACAGAACATCAAAAAATAAATGATCTCAATAAAAAAACACAATCGTAAGAAGCCAGGCAAACATTGAGAAGAAGTCCTTTCGTACCCTTTCAGAGTTTCAGCAGAAAAATTGAATTCAAAAGTCCATTGCATGTACAAAGATTAACAATATAATGACATACACATTGAAATAGAACAAATTTATGCAATGTGAATAAAACCCACACGTAATGGTAAAGGTACCTAATTTACACATTACCTACCCCAACACTGACAAACCTACCATCGCAATTGCAAAGGCAGCATAGACTCACGGATTTACCCAATAAATACCTCATCACACAAATAAAAATATTTATTTTAAACTTACATGATGCTTTGCAAATAAGAATTGAATCAGCTGCAATGTCTTGTTTAATTGCAACTAGTCCATTCACATCCTTATAGCCAAATTGATCCAAGATGCAGTCCTTGAATGATGCTAATCTTCGACTGTTCCTTTCAAATATGTACAACAGTATTGCTCTGTAGTTATAAATAACACTCATAACTGATGATATACGAGCTTGTAATGCCTTATTTCACGTTGTCCCAATCCTCTAACATATTCAATTTATATCTGAACCTTAGTGTGACCTAAACTCATAATTTTCATTTTTTAAATAAATTATAAGAATCAGTCGGGGAAACTATGGTAAAATCTGCTATTTTTAGCAGTCTGCTATTTTTAGCAGAAATCTGCTAAAAATGGGTACGCATGTGACGTCATCGTACCCAAATATAGCAGATTTGGGTACGGCCCCATTCAAAAGCAGATCTGCACCCTAATTGAAGCAAATGCGCATCAAATGCCTGGCAGATTCATGATGAGAATAGTGCTGAGAGTGATCTCTGCTATTTTTGTTCAGATCAGACTATTTTCAAATTCATTATTTGAAAATAGTCGGATCTGAACAAAAATATCAGAGGACATTCTCAGCACTATTCTAATCATGAATCTGCCAGGCATTTGATGCGCATTTGCTTCAATTAGGGTGCAGATCTGCTTTTGTATGGGGCCGTACCCAAATCTGCTATATTTGGGTACGATGACGTCACATGCGTACCCATTTTAGCAGATTTCTGCTAAAAATAGCAGACTGCTAAAAATAGCAGATTTTACCATAGTTTCCCCGACTGGAATGAGGGAGTTCTATAGCCTTGAGCATGAGATGCGTTGTTTTTTCAGAAATGTAGCATTCGCGGCATGAACGTAGGCAATATTTTTACATCCCTATTTCAGACTTTTAAATTTTTGTTTCAATTGATCACGTCAATTGCCTTTTAAATAGGCCAAATAAATTCATTTAGGTAATTTAAAAATAAAAGATTATGTAAAATAAGATTATCTCGAAGACCTAACGAGAATAGTATTGGATTTGCTCGTTTTTTGAAAGAATGTGACTCAAAAGCAAGGCCCCTCAAAAGCACTTTATTAGAATGATGTCAATATCCTAAATATGTGAATAAAAAAAGCAAATATAAGTAAATTTTGTTTAATTTTAGTAAAAAAATATTATTAGGCAGCTTAAATTTCACAAAAAAACATAATTGAAACAGAAAATGCGTGTTTTATTTAATCTGACGTCATTTATAACAATGAGCGTTTGTTACCATTAGGAGTCAATACACCTCATGCTTGAGCCAAACCAATTTCTACAAATTCGACCGGCGTCCATTTCCTTTGGCTTCCGCCGCGTGGTCGCAGGAGGCGCCCGGCTCCCAATTTCTCGAAAATTACGATATATTGCGTTTTATTTGTATAACCTAATATGGGGGATGAAGCACCGTCTCCCCATAATGGGGGTCCACCGCCACTTATGGGCGATGGTGGTTCAGGGAGTCCCGGTGGTTTCAGGGGAAGGGGTCGCGGCGGATTCGATGGCCGTGGACGCGGTGAAGGCCGTGGCCGTGGAGGATTCAGAGGCCGAGGTGGTGGAGACCGTGGACGTGGCGGTGGTGGCGAATACAGGGGAAGAGGGGGCCATGGCGGTGGCGACCGGGGGCGTGGAGGTGGAGAGTTCCGCGGACGCGGCGGCGGAGAGTTCCGGGGACGTGGAGGCCGTGGAGGACGAGGGGGCATGGGAGGCCCCAGGAACCCAGAGGTACGTGCTCAGATGTAAGATCAGGGCCCTGTTCTATGACACGACACTACAGTGCGCTGCGCTAAGGTATTGGTGCAGCGTTTGAGATAAATTTGCCTCAATGATCCGGCGTTGTGAGCATCTTGAGTTTGTTGATGTTTCCATGGAAACCCAATACACTGATGCATTTGGCGCACTGTCCTGTCATGGCAGTGAAATGGGGCCCAGTGGTCTGCTTGTGACATTTCAGGCTGTTCAGTTGCTTTTATCCTGCTTTAGGCAAGATTCGTAGAGTCACAGTTTTGGCATGTTCTTGTTGACATGGAGGTCCTCTACTGATGTGCCTGCTGTCCTATGATTTTGATTTTATGATTTTGAGTTACATGAAGTGGTGCAAGAGAAAATGTAGTAGGTACAGTGCTAAAACTGGCTTTTCTGCCAGCCTAAGCTGGTCAAGTTCCCTTTTTTGTTTCCTTTGAGAGAAGGAAGATGAAGGAAGAGGAACTTTATGCACAGATGCACCAGACATGTGCAAATTAATGATGAACTGAATGATGTTATGACCCTGTTTCAGTTAATTCCATCATGGTACTGTGGGCTTCAGTGGTGCAGTGTAGCCACAGAAAACAATTTAAGTCCTGTGGCACAACTTTCAGACTTTTGTGTGAGCTGGTGGGGATTTTCACCCTTTTGGCAGGTTTGGGCCCACCAGACCAGCAGGAAAGCTTCTGGAGGGTCTTTATGATGCTCTCAAAAGGAGCTGCCATTGGATGCCTTAAGGCTAAGGACTCATTTTTGTACCTGAGCTTCAGGGACTAGTGCTTGCTATTTAGGGCCCTGAGTCAAACACTTATGACCTTTCAGGTGCTCCTGCCTGCTAGGCCCTTGCCTGCCACTGAAGCTGAAGGCACTTAGGTGGCCTCTGATACTCTACCCCAGACTCTAACTTCAGTCTAGGCTCTAGACTGCAAAGAATGGCAGTAGAGTTGCTGCTCCAGCTCTGAGGAAAACGTGCAACATCCCACACTGAGACTTGGAATCTGCAACTGCAAACACTGAAAAAATGACAAAAATTATCCCTTGGTATTTGGAAGTGTTCCTACACTTGTATTGCTCCAGAAACTAATAAATGGACCAGTGCAAGGCTGCATATGACAGGCTGAATATTCAGGGGTAATAGTTGGAAATGCCTATTTGGCTGTTGCATTCCCAGGGAGTATACCACTGAAGGATACCATTGAAGGTATTTAAAAATGTGTGTCAATTATAATTGGTATGCATTATTTGATTTGAAATTGAATATATAATCTAAGCAATCCTTTAGCTTAAAAGATGACGTAAGCCAATCAACCCATAATGCTGGGTGCAATGCGTGCAATAAACATTAAACAAGTTTGTTGTGATACCCTTCAAGCTCTGACTGGATAGTGATAAGTCAGGCTCGAAGTCAACCAGAATCTTGGCTCTGGCCTCTGAGCATTGATTGATCAAAATGTTCGTGAGCTGTTATAGTGATAAGTGAACCCAGCTGTGGACCAATGGCCCACTGGCGCTCCCTGCCAGGTCTCCATTACATAATATAATCGTTCTGGGTGGTGTTGTACAGGTGCTGTAGTGTAGTGCAGCACTCTTCCACAATTATGCCTGCATGCTCTTGGAAAATCTGCACCACACGGAAAAAGTTCACGTAGCACCGCGTGGAAAATCAGCACTTATCAGGGCCAGGCCTTCATCGAGACCGACGATATATCATCGAAATCGTGATACGCGGCAGAGTAGCCCAGAAATATGGCAATAGAGGCAGCAATGTAAATCGCCCAAGAAATGAACCCACACCAGGGTAATCTTTGCTGTTGGATTTTTATCAGCATGGTGCTAGTTTTCTTATATATGGAAACTCATTGCTATTTTTTCTTGGTCTCTGATTAGCCCATCGCTCAGACCACATGATGAAAAGCAAAGAAATGCCAGCAAGGTGGCAGCCTGTTGATGCAAAGCGGCGGCCGAACCTAGGCTAAACCGTGCTTACACCAAACTAGGCTGAAATTCTGCACCAGCCAGCGACAGTCAAACAATCCTTGAATTGGCACTACAGAATTAGGGATTATGTATTTGTAGATGTAAAAAGTGAAATGTAGAAGTATGATTGTTCAGTGACCGAACTCACTAATATTTCGTTGTCATGAGGAGCGGCAGTGAAGTGAAACATTTTACCAGAGTGGACCCAGCACCCAGTACTCAACATGAGCGGAAGTTTACATACTAAGCAGTCAGAACAGCAATGCAGCTCAGGGTCTATGCTAAGTGAGCTTAGCACTTACAGTCTGGCCTTATCACTCCACCAATCAAAACACTAGAGCTTTTTAATGACAAAAGTATAATTATTGGGAATGAATGACGTGTTGCAGGTAAGTTTTCGTATTTGAGGTCGAACTTTGGATAATTGTATCCGGTCCCCTGGCCGCTCGGACGGACTCTCGGGTGCAGCGGCTCGGTGAGTTTACTGACGTCCGGTGTCTGCCTGCTGTCAGGACCGGCTGAACGACAAGCTGCAGCAGATCGGCGGCCCCACCTACGACCTGCCCGTCAATGACAACAAGGAGCCCAAGAAGTTCACCAACAAGTGCCGCCTGTTCGTCGGCAACCTGACCGACGACACCACCATGGACGAGTTCCAGGAGATGTTCTCCGTCTTCGGAGAGATCGCCGAACCGTACATCAACCTCGAGAAGGCGTTCGGATTCGTCAAGCTGGTAGGTGGTCTTCTACCTGTAAATGGAATATGATGGCATGGTTGTTAAATGTGCTGGTTAGCTATTTGAACTGAATTTATAGTAATTCTGAACTTAACTCATATCAGTAATTCTTCTTCTTAAATATTTTAATGCGTTTTGATAGTATAATATCGGTATGATAGTATTCTTCATGGTGCTGCAATAAGCGTGACGTAGTGCTCTACCGGGTGGCCCAGAAAAAACGTTCCGAACTTTGGAGGCCTGTATATCAAATACGAGTACAAATAGCGAGCCAAAATTTTCATCAAGTTTGCGTCATTTCTTTGCGCATTGGTATGCCAATTTATAACACTATACCATCATTTTCAAGCTGGCAATCTTGAGTTGAATTAAGCAAGACCTTTTTGCTTTTTTTGCCAATGTGAAACGATAGTGATGATTGGGTTAGACGTCCCATGTTATAAAAAAAAGAATAAAAAATAGAGCACGTGAATGAAACCAACACGTATGTTCTTATTTTAAATATTTTTGTCTCACTTATGTGCCAAATATTCAAATACTGAACCAAAATGGTGCTCATGGATGTCATTCGTTTCAACACCAAATCATGTTTCGAGCAGGAGTGGCACGATGCATGGATTACTGCTGATTACTCTCCTTTCAGTAGATCAAACAGTAAATCGACCGGATAAGGAAAACAAACTAAAGCAGACTGGTTCCTGTGCCAGAAGACCACAGAATAGCTTATGAAAAACAACATTGCCAGCAGATGCCAAAACAATATGGTTGAAAAGCTACCTTTTCCCAGGAATGTCAGCCAGGAAAGCATT